TCTTCTGGACAAGGGATGGATCCGTCGATGAATCCAATTTTCCGTTTTGCACGGAATGCAATTCTCATTGCACGAGCCCATTCTTCATAATTATCACCGTTTAGTTTGACTTGGGTGATAATTAATCCAGGTGTGTCTGCGTTCTTGAGTTCGTAAGAATTTCCCTTCGTAGGGATCTTCTCTTCCTCATCGAAGAGCTTGCCGACGAGATTTTCTTCTACTTTTGCCATGTCGACGGTCGAGGAGGATAGTTCGGCGGTCGAGGTCAGTGATCCGGCGGAAGACAGGCTTGAACCGGCGGAGGACAGTGATGGACCGTCGTTTGTCTAGATTAGGGTTTTCCCTAGGAACTAGGCTCTGATACCATGTAGAAATTATTAAGAGGAAAAATATTATGTATATTGAATTGCCTTTCCAATTACAAGGGGTTTCTCCTTTATTTATAGGAGAGGAAAAAGACCAAAACACAAAAGGAATTCTACTCCTACATGGAAACAAATCACTAAATATGAACTAGGAAACAAATCAAGAGCAATCCCACTTAGAATGAGATTTGCTTTCCTTCTTGCCTTGTGGTCCAAGGAACACGGCCCAACAGAATGGAGTATTTTATGACTCAAAAGTCACTTCGTATTTAAAAAAAACATTTCTTGCATGTTTTTGATAAGTTACCTGTTCATTTAGCCAAAAAAGTATTCTTCATTAACATATCATTGGTAATATAATGAACCTTAGTATGATCTAAAAATATTTCTTTTATTGTTTGTATTATTTAAAATTAAAGAAGCCATAATATTTATAATTAAATGAGCATACTTGATTAGGGCTGGACACAATCCCGATACGGAATTGGTGTCGGCGCTGGAACCAGTGGCGGAGACGGTGACACGGTAAGGAGGATTGGACACGGAATCACCGTCCACGGTCTGGTTATAGTGTACAAATTTTGGGACCGGAATCGGGGGTTTCGATACCGATTTCGGTCCAATTTTGAATTTCTTTTTTTTTCTTTTGTTCCATGGGGAGCGTCTCTAGCGGCAATTTAGCCGTTTGGAGGGGGTGGGGGTTATTTTTTACCTATAAATACTACCCTAATTGGATCAATAGTAATTAGATTATGAATAAATGTGTTCTTGTATTTCGTGATACCAATGAATCTTAAATAGAAAATAATATTTGTCTTTTGCTTGAACGTATTCACCAAGAATAAAATTTACTTGATAGAGTTTTAACATCTAGTTTTGATAATGCTACTCATAATAGTGCTGCCGTTCCTAGACTTAGATAAATTCCTCCCCTTAGCAGCGTTATGAGTAGATTTCCACACCAAATGTATACTTGTCATGTTTTAAATTTATTTGTTTGACAGGGATTAAAAAGTATGAAAGTTTAGGGATAAATTTTGAAAATAATAAGGGGTGTTGGGTGTCATTTTCCAAACCACATAAGATACTGGTGCTATTTAACCAATGTTATATGTCAAATTTAGTATTTCCTAACGTCCCTAAAATATCTTCTCCTATCATTTTTCCGTTGTCTCCAAAAGATGTTCTCTTTTATATTAAAAAATCATTTTTACCCCTTACTTTTTTCATACTCTACTTATCATATCATACTCTTTTGCTAATAATCTATCTATCACATCTTACTTTTACCCATCACATCAAAAGTATTTTTAGAAAATTAACACAAAATATCCCTCCTTTAATTCCCAAAAAGTCAATAAGGAAAACACTTTAAAGTACTATTTATATTTTAAAACATTATATCATTCAAAACTAATTACCGATAACTCAAAATTTTGCAATCATTTTGATTTGAAAATTTATATTTTCCCGTGCATGTCACGGGGTGATGCAGTAGTACTCCCTCAGTTCTACAAAAAACATCTTTTTTCATTTTTCTCTTTCATAAAAAAACTTTGACTTTATATTTAAAAATTACTTTTGCTCATACATTTTCTTACCTTACTTTTTATATCATATTTTTTTCTAATAATTATCAATCACATCTTATTTTTACCTATCACATCAGAATTGAAATTAAAAGTCAGCTATCATTTAACACTTTTTTTCCTACTTGGTCAAAATTGAAATTATTTTCAAGAAAGTTGAGTATTAAACTACTAGTCGTAGAACTTTGGAGACAGCCGGGTGTGTCGCACATGTGGGGTAGGGAATGTGAGTTAGCCACGTTGATGAGGTACGCAGGAAATTCCCAAAATACCCCTTCAATAAAACCAAAACGTTTTTCTCACCTGTCTGGTCTCAATCAAAATACGGAGTAGTACTAACCACTCCTACGAATCCCTATCCAGAAGGGCCATATCGTAATTCCACCAATCTCCCCGCATCGGTCAACGGGTCTCGAGATGTGCTTTTACCGAAACACCCCTCCACCACTTCTGGTATTATTATCCTTTTCCCCCTCTTGTTCCACCATCACTGATCTCCACCCAATTTCAAAACTCACAGAGCAGAAGAAATTGAAATATTTGGGCAAACAAAAAAGGAAAAATCAGTTGAAAAAAAAAGAAAGCCCAAATATTTATATATATAAATTAAATTGAAGGGAAAATGGAGCATCCGTTCTTCATGACGAACCCTAACCTGACGGAGGCGGCGCTGCGGTGGCTGAGCATCGCCGAGAAGCTGCTGGCGAACCGCGATTTGATGGGGAGTAAGTCGTTTGCGACCCGGGCGCAAGAGTCCGACCCGACCCTGATTCACGGCGGCCAAATCCTGGCAATCATCGACACCCTCCTCGCCGGCGACAAGCTGATAAACAACCAGCTCGATTACTACGGCATCCTCCAAGTCCCGCATGACCAGACCCATGACTCGGACCTGATTGCGAATCAGTACCAGAGACTCGGCGTCCTCCTTAACCCTCGGAAGAACAACTTTCCGTACGCCGATCAAGCTTTCCGGCTTGTGACGGATGCCTGGGCTGTACTCTCCGACCCCTTCAAGAAAAGCGTGTATGATAAGGAGCTAGGGTTCTTCATAAACCTCAACCCTTACCCGGTTGCTTCCGCTCCTAACCCGATTCCCCCTCCGCCACAGCAGCAGCAGAATGCTTTTGCAGTAATTGCAAACTCCGGCAGAGACCATCAGCAGCAGATGTTCTTCGCGAATCGCGAGCAGCATCAGCAGCAGCAGTTTACCCCCGGTCAACCGTTGACCTTTCTGAATCGCGAGCAGGTTCAGCAACAACAGGTTCATCAACAGCAGGTCCAAACAATGTCCTTCTTGCAGCAGCCGTTTACAGGCATGGATCAGCAGCAATCTCAGCCAATCACATTTCTCAGTCAGCAACAACAGCCTCAGGTAACCTCAGTCCCCAGCTTGAATGTAGACCAATTGCCTGCGGTGACTTCTATGCCCAGTTCGACTAGAGAGCCACAACCATTTACATTTGGTCCAAGTTTAGGTCGAGCCCAACAACCACCACCACTACCACAAGTCCCTCCCACCGAGACCCCCACCGTGTATCAACAAAGGAATGAGCAAAATGAGGGTCTTGGAGGAAATAATCAGTCTGATGAGAATATGAGCCAGCCTAGAGATAAGGAGAGTGAAGTAGACGAAGCAAATGATGTTGATCCAAAGGAGGATGAGCCAAAGAATGACATCCCCAGCTTCTGGACTGCCTGCCCATATTGTTACCACATGTTTGAGTACCCTGAGGTTTATGTTGATTGTACTTTGAGGTGCCAAAATTGCAGAATGGCATTCCAAGCCGTAGTGATTTCGTCTCCACCCCCAATTCTTGATGGGAAAGAAGCTTATTTTTGTTGTTGGGGCTTTTTACCCTTGGGGTTTTCCGTATCAATTTGGGAAAAGTATCGGGATCAGGCAACATCTTGGACACCCTTTTCTCCCATGTTTAGTACTCCTCAAACTGGTGGGGTGAATGCATATCATTCTGTTGGCAGGCAGGAGAATGTTAAAAGCTATAGGGATCAGGGTTTTGGTGGAGTGAGGAGGTCAGCCCCAAAAGTTATTGTTGATGACGATGTGTATGTAGACTTATTATCAGAGTCTAGTGATGAGTCAGATGATGATTGGAAGAAAGGGTATCAGTATAAGAAGAAAAATAAAACAAAGAGAGTGAAGGGAAAGGGGGGCATGACAGGTACTCTGAATAGAAATGGTATGAAACTGAAATCTGATCATGGAAAGAATGCCAAAGCTAATAAGGCTGGGGATAATTCTCAAGGAGGTGTTACCATGCAAAACGGGTCACGCATGCCAGCGGAAATGGTCAAGAAAGGCACGTTGAGCAGCACAAGGAGGCAGTCAGGGAACCCTGCCAATGGGAAATTGGATTTGAATGTGGAGTTCAGCAACGAGGGCGAGGAGCCTCCGCCGATTATAAATGGACAAACAGGAAGGGGAGAGGATGATGTGATTGAGGGGAATGGGTTTTTTGAGGGTCTTGATGAATTCCTGAGCAGTCTTCCTATTCTGAATGCTGTTGGTGACGAAAAGGTTAAGGCTGCCTAGCAAAGTTAGACCTTTGCGCTTGTTGTAATTGTAGCTCTCTAGTTTAGCTTTTGCCTTTTTTGTATGTTGTAAAGAACAACGTAGAGCTACTTGGGTAATGGCCTTATGTTTTCTCCATGGTTGCTCTACTCTAAGCTTTTGCATTTTGTATGTTTCTAGTAAGGAACAGTGTAGTAGAGCTACTTGGATACCTTTCTTGATGGTTTTCCTCCTTCAGGTTTTATGTAGCAAATAAGGTGGCAGTGAATCTTCCTAATTCTATTGGAAGGATCAGTTTGATACTACTGTTTTCGTTACACACAAGCTGCAAAACAGATAAAGCTAGTAGTTTGCAGTGGTTTTGTTTCTTACAAGGCCCAAACTGTTCTGGTTACTTAAATTTCCAATTTGCTTCTGTGACTAAATGGAACTACATTGCTTTCCTTCATTTATGCTTGCAGGAATATATTGACCAGCCACTGAGTCCTGAATAGCCATCTTCTTTAGCTGTAAGTACATGTTATTCGACTCCATGTTTGGTAGAGCAACTTATATGCATATCTTTGTGTTCCGTAGATAGAAGATTGGATTTTGCTCCTGCCTTCTATACCTAATATGCTTTCATTCTTGTTAGATTAGAAATATTACTCTAAAATATCTAATGCATTCTTGTAATTCCTTGTTATGATTTTTTAAAATGAGAGAGAGAGAGAGAGACATGGATTGATGAAAATAGTGGTGTGGTTCAAATTTCGATTCTAGTCTTCACAAATTTACAGTATACAGAGATGATATGTAAAACAAAACAATAGAACACAAACATGCCATGTAAATATTAAAACAAAGGTTGTCAAATACTTATGCAGCCTATCAAGTTCATATAAGAGTCAAGGTATTTTGGGTAATATCCTGTGTGTGTCCGTGTGTAACAGGTGCAAGTAATTGAGAAAAAGAAAAAAAAAAGGACCTGTTGCCCAAGAGTCAAAACAACATATGGATCACTCGAGAACATGTCTCGGACAGCTAAGTTTGTGCCTTTCATTACTTTAATCATCAATACTCCAATGAATTCCACTAAACCTTCCTGTTAACAAGTTCAATGTAAGCTGCATAGGCGTGACCATACAAATATAATGAAATTAATGCTTTTAGAATCATTTTAAAGTTAACTCCAGGAATCCTCATCAATGTTAACTTGTCAAAAGAATCCATTCAACCAGCACAAAAACTTTGCACATCTCCATATATACACAAGCAAAAACTTACAGATTTCTGTGTTGAACTTGAACTTCGGAAACCATCTGCAGCTGGAAGAGATTGCCTTTTTTGTTTCGATGAGATTTGCAAGCTAGGCTTTAAAAATTCCTGAAGCTCATATTTAGACCTAAAGAAAGGAACATTTGATCAACAGACAGAAACATATTTTGTGGTTGAGATGCAGTTTCTGTACATGTTGGTTTATTTAGCCATGAGTACCTATACCATACATCCCACTGTACAGTGTTTCCCATACATCAGCATGAGTACTCATTTACGAGTAATTGAATACTCATTTTCGTGCATAACTGAATTTTAGAAAAATGAGTATTCAATTGCTGGAAAATGAGTATTCAAGTGCTCAAAAATGAGTATTTGGTTACTCGTAAATGAGTACTCGCTGTAGATGTACGGGAAAACACTGTACAATCGGTTGTACGGTATATATTGCGTTTACCCATTAGCATGAATTCAAAGGTTCAAAACAAATGATTTTCTTTTGGAGTCCTATCCAACCGATTAATCCTAGCATGTCTTGTTGTCTAGAACCCTGACCGGCTAACACTAGTCTTGAGTTCCATAATTGTTGAGTATATCGCATCAATTGTCCACTGCTTTGAGGCTTTGAGCCTCGTATAAAAGTGTGAGTTGAATGTCACCACTTGAGGATCTTTTTAAAATGAATTTTGTTCCAATTTTACATGATATTAGAGTATGATCCATTTATAATACAAAAATTAGTTCCTGGTACCCTCAGTTTTCTGGTACCCTCAGCTTTGAGGCCCCACATCATCTGAAATATACTCTGAGGTACCCTCAATTTTTTGGTAAGAACCCTCAGGTCCCGCATGATCCCAAATATACTCTAGGGTCCTTAAAATTCTTGATATTATACTCCGAGCGTACATTCTCTCAATTTAGACGTTAGATTAAAAGTTCTTTTACTTTGAAAAATTGAAAAAAAATATTCAAATTTCATAAAATAACAATTATCAATGTAAATTTAGTATTTGTCAAAGTAACATGACTTTCAATCGTAACAGCCAAATAGACGGAATGTACCCAATAAGTAAGTACATTACCACAACTTTTAAGGACCCCCGGAGTATATTTTAGATAATGTGGGACTTGAGAGGTCATACTAGAAAATTAAGGGTACCCCGGAGTATATTTAAGATAATATGGGACCTGAGAGTTATTACCAGAAAATCGAGGGTACCCCGGAATAATTTTCTGATTAATATGCAGAGTATATTCCCACTCGATGGTTTGAGGGAACCCATTTCGGAGGCCGACTTGGACTCATTTGTAAACCCCAACTTGGGTGTCTACTGCATGTCCGCATTTGAAAATTGTATAAGCCTAAGGTAAAACTCCATTCTTGAGGATCTTTTATGCTGAGGGCTACACCTTTTTCTAGTTCATGGACCATTAAAGTGTCCAATTATTAAGAACTGATACCTAATGATAGACATTACTCCTAGGATTGTAAAACGAACGAATCGAATCGAATCGAATATAATGAAATTTTATTCATATTTGAAAAACGATACCGTTATTCGTATTCATGTTCGTTTTTTATTCGAATAATTATTACTATTTGTATTTGATTTGATATTAAATTCAAATATTTGGCTCATGTCTGGAGTAGGCTTTGAAACTCCTTCAGGGATATAAGCTTCATAAATTGAGGGAATTTGCAGATGCATTTCCTCCAACCTCAACCATTCCATCAACTTGATCACCATCTGACCATTCATCTAGCTAGAGTCACAGACAAGACCTTCATGCAAGATTGCAAATGTTAGATGGAAAAAGACAAAACACAAAGACAAAGTGACAAACATATACTCCCTCCGTCCCCTTTTTATTTACCCTCCTTCCCCCCTCTCCATTGTGATTCCCCCTCTC